GTAATTATGCTAATCTCCTCTCGCGTGCACGAGCAGCTGGATAGAAAACGTGTAATTTACGCACGTTTCCTGAAGATAGAAGCGTTTGTTGAATCTGACGTGACATGTTCGTACGAACCCTTTGTACGAACAAAAGTAAGAGAAATTTAGGAGAAGAATACGAACATGTTCTTGCATGAGGCCCAATGATTATTTCCTAAAAGTTTCAGTAGAATTCATCCAGTAGTTCATAAGATATTGAGCTAACAGACCGAGTCTTCGACTCCAAAAAATTAATGACATAATTTATAAGCTAGCTGTTTGCACAATCTGTTAGCGGTTAGAATATGAAGATTGGATCAGTCTCAGCTACTACCACACATAATTTTAGGTCAGTATTTGTGACTGTGTTAAAGCGATCTTTGTGTTTATTTTCAAGGTCAGTCAACTGTTGCGATCATCTCGGATGAGAATGACTCCAAAACAAAATTTAGGCCCGGCTTACACAACGCTGTTTTTGAGTGAAACCATTTCATTTCTGCTGCATTTTGTCTGTCTGCGTACACGACAACAGCAGTTGTTTTCTCTGACATCAAAGCTTTCTGAATTCAGGTCGCAGAGCAGAGGTTTTTAGAACTATCCATTATCTGTGTGAAATCGTGTGCGTACGGACGGCTGCAGCCGATAGTTTTTCTGCACTTACCCAAGTAGACGAACAACAGTAACAATGGTGGATAGCAGAGTGCTGTTTGTGTTACTCACCCCTTTCAACATGTAGGAGCAAAGGAAACCTCTCCCTTTGTCCAAACGAATGTTCGTGTTTTCACCATTTTAATGTATAACTCTTAGTAAGTCAGTATTTTGTGATGCATCGTGGTCTAGATAGTCTTACGTTGTTTGTTGAAACTTAATCTAAACATTGTTCAGATTTATGTTTCATCTGTTATCTGTACGCACTTTGATTAAAATTTTCAGTTACTGTACAGCTGTTTTTCCTCTTATTACTTGAAAGGCTCTATTAGGGTTGGGCAAAAATCGTATCGTGTGCAATTAATTGTTAGAAAAAATTTAACCAATATTTTTTAGCACTTAACGATTAAAACGATCAATGCCACCAGGCAGACTGACTGGAGATTTCCCATGTCAGTGCGCTTGATGCTCCTCTTCACTTCAAATGACAAACATTTTTAAAAAAGTTCTGTAATTTATTTGTCATAACTCAGTTTTTACTTTAAAAATTGACGTATAGTTTGAAGTCTGTAGTTTTGACACAATTTGGAACAGATTTTCATGGAAAGCAAATCTTTCCCACTAGAGTGAGTTAAATTGGTCATGTGACTATGAGGGCCTCCAGGGACTCCAGGGGATTAATTAATTAATTTAGGATGCACTAGTCCAGCTGTTTCAGTTTATATACATATATCAAGGCTGCACAAACCTTTTCCCCAAAATGAAAATCTATCTGAGGGCTGCAGCCAAATGCAATAATATGATTCACGTAATACAAGTACTTCTTAATTACAGTACTTTTATTTTAATGATTACACTAGCAGCCAGTGCCGTGACCCATGTTTTCTTATTCTGCTCCGACAAACATGGAATGCTCTACAGCAGGATCTGAAGTTACGTACTTTGATTCCCTTGGGACAATTCAAATTTCTTCTGAGA